TATATATACGTTTACAAGACTCATTATTATTATCAATACTATAATTCTCCACATTGACTGATTGATTTTTAAAAAATTCTGGTTGATTGCAGTTATGAACTGAAAAATGTGGAAATAATTTGGGCAATTCGACATGAGTCTATATCAGCGACATTTTTCGACGAAGGAGCTGCAGAATTTTTTAAGCCGATGCTAAGTGAGGGACGTCGTGATCACAAAGCAACAACGGTGGTGATGCAACGAAACAAAAATGGAGAGTATGATAATACTGAGCCGATATCGTGCGATATTTATAAAAATTCGGCGAATGTGACCACTGCACAACAAAGTATATCATCGATTCGAAATAATACTTCTACTACTGCAACTGCTGCTGACATTTCAAAACGTCGTTTTCGTATTGACGTTGATAATGATAAACAAAAAGTTGATAGTGAAACAATTGGCTGTGCATTAGGACCGCACTGGGCGGTCACTTCTGATATCACGGGGAGTTTGAAGGTTTGCAAGTTTCATTTTTTAGTATGCTTTATTGTGTGTTGTGATATGAGAGGTGCAAAATCGTCGTGTTACTATCATAAATGATACCTGTAGCAAGAGATAATCGCGAGTAATCAGTTTGATTATCGTAAAACAGCTCGCCATCGTAGCATTGGTTTTCCTTGCGATTCTCTTCACCATCTTCCTTATTCGACTGGTTCAGTTTCTCGTTAGACTTAACGTTGAGGAGAACGTTAGCTGCTGCTTGAGCAAAACGAAACAAAAAAAATAAAGCGACAAAAATTCAGCTTCCTAAATTTCACTATTGTGCCTTAGTAGAAGCTTCAGCCATCTTTTCGCAACAGCTGTCTCTTGTGTTGCCAGCCATCTTATTTACATTAATACCTTGTGATATCAATTAATTGATTGATTTTACTCACGAATTTTTCGTTAAAATATTTCAAAACTTTGATACTTATGTTATATTCATTTTTCAAAAAAAAGAACAACTTCCTCCATATAGTTTGTATGAAAGTCTCGTGGAATAGTTCATGAAAATTTAGCTCATTCATGAAAATTGCAGGAGAGATCAGTGCATGTAATATACAACGTTGAGATGGAATCAATTGTTAATGCTGACGAAGCTGAAACGAGTGAGCAACAAGGAGCATGGTTTACTGGTGACTGGCCACTATATGTTCGTTTAAGTGACGGTCAGATTTTGGGTACGGACATTCTCATTAACGCAACTGGTGTGGAGCCAAATTCGAAGATGTGGAAGGAGCAGTGTGATGAGGTTTCTTCTTTGCACTCATTTATATCAAAATGTCCATTCATCGTTATCACTCATAGCTGCTAACACGATTGTTTAGTCTCCTATAAAGTCTTGTTAATATCAACTGATTTTATAAGCGTATTCGTCAATTTTTTTTTCGCCACTTTTAAGTTGTTGCAAAGTCATTTTCATTTAAAATCAATCAAATTTCACCTCATATCATACATATTCAATGGGTTTCACTTCGTTTTCGCCACTCCATCCCTGGTGTTGAAAGAAAGAGGTCTAGCACACAGGTGCATTGATGTGTCGTCATTATTTCATGAGTAAAATTTCAGTTGATTCTAGCGACCGACGAAGGTATTATTGTTAATGAGCACATGATGACTTCTGTCCCAGATGTGTACGCTTGTGGTGATGTATGTACGGCTGTCTGGAAATGGGCTGATCACTGGATGCAAGTATGTTGCTGATCGTTTTCTTTGAAAATCATTCCCAACCATCCTTGTCATCGCCGCATCTTTTGCAGCTCTCAGTCTCGTAACCTGTCGACGTTTATTTCACTTAAGCATTCTGTGTCCTCTTTCTGCAAGAGGAGAAGTTAATAGATATGAGTGTATATGTATTGACTCTGCTATCAGATGCGACTATGGACTCAAGCGCGTCAAATGGGTGCATATTGTGGACGTGCGATGGTTCTCCGTGAAATACAACTCGACTTTTGTTTTGAGTTGTTCACTCATGTAACACACTTCTTTGGATTTAAGGTATGTGCCTGCTGAGCTATTCCTTAAAGTGCATTTGTTCGTATGTTTCATCTGTTAGCTAGTTTCGCTTATATTCACTTAATCAGCTATTATAATTACCATTGCTATTATCATTCTTTCAATTGATGTTTCAAAATTAAGGTGATATTTTTGGGCCGCTTTAACGGCGATGGTGTACCGAAGCCATGGCATGCGCTAATGAGGATCACAAAAAATGAGGAATATATTAAGATTATCGTTCATAATGGACGCGTACAAGGGAAGTTGTACAGTGCTCACTTCAAAGAAAAATTGTTTTTGAATTGATTTCTGTTTCTGAAGTTAAATTCATTCATGAATTTATGTATTCGTAGTAGCGCTGCGTGGCAAAACGGAAAGTGCACAGAAAAGAATGATCGATGAAGCAAAGAAGAATATGTACAGTTAGAGACATTTTAGGTGCTGTTTTGGTGGGTGAAACCGAGTTAGAAGATATGGTCGAGAATCTCATTCTGAATCAGATTGATATCAGCGATTTGGAGGATGACCTCCTAGACCCGGCAATTGATATTGGCGATTATTTTGACTGATTAATCGGTTGGTTGGTTGATTAATTGCTTCTTGCATTCTTAGTTGATCGCATTGCAGCAATATTTGTATTTAATATGTTTAAATTGCTTTAATACTCATCATGGTATTCAATTTGCTTCATTAATTTGTTTTCTCCATTTTCTTCTGTTTGAAATATACAAACGATTTTCAACGAAACGATTCAATTTGCTTCATATATACAAATATATCTTCGTCATCAAAAGCTTTTCGAATCTTCTAAAATCAATCTCGTTCATTTTTGTGTCAACTGCAATTTAAAATTAAATTCTCGTTTTTTGGTTTCCCATTTATTTCTAGTTAAGTTATTATTATTGTTTTGTTTTTACTATTCCTATTGTTGATGTTGTTGATAATACTGTTATTGATGTTTGGATGGTAATAGTGAAATAAAAAACTGATTACGACTATTGCATTGTGGTTTTGTTGTCGGAGTTGTCATTACTGAAAAATGCACTGAAGCAAGTAAGCGGGTAAACAGGTGGTTGAAGATTTAGAGCTAGCAGCTGATCACTGAATATCATGACAGAATTATTTGTTTCGATGATCAAAACAAAAGGAAGAATATATTTTAGTGCTGGATTGCAGTTGTTTGTCATTTCATAAGTTTTGATGTCATATTAATACGTTACATGCGATGTATTGAATATAACTGGAATCGATAAGTCATAAAACTGATGTTGAATAAGTGAAGAGAATATGGAAAAAAAGTAGAAGGTGGAGGCTCAACCTAGCGGTTGAAACTGATGAATGTTTTGATGGTGTTACAAGGCGGAATGTGGTTCTGAGATGAAAGATACAGGCTACAAGAAGAAGCAACATCTATGCGTGTTGCTCTCGCAGACATAATTGATGACGTTCTTATCCTTTTGTCAACCGACTGAAGAGGGGATACATTTTAGGGTTGGGCAAGAGGAAACAAGGAGGGGACGAGCTTATCGGTTGTTGATTAAAAATGTTTTGAGAGCGAGAATATATAATGCTTGCAAATAATTAATTTCCAAATATACTGCTCCAATATGCAAAATCCATCGACAATACTCATAGGATTACTGAGAATCTGTTAAATCCGAGGGTAACATGAAATCATAGTGTTGCTGAGCAAACTTGAGAGTACGCTGCTGAACTGTATCATTGATCACGATATAGTGATGAAATGTACGGAGTTTGGCGTATTATAGAATGGCTCAAGTAGTTTGACATATCATCACGAAATCGGTTATATCTCTTGAAGTAAGCAAAATTCGTCG